AAAACGTTCGGTTTAGACTTCTAGAAATGGCCGCTAATTCCCATTACGTAAGGGTATGATAGCGATGTTATACCATTTTGAGAGATTAACTGAAGCCCTGTTGCGGTTTTAGAATTTTCCCAGCTATGTGAATCATGTAAGCTTTTTCTATAATGGACAATACACTGATGAAACACTAGTTTAGTTTTGACGCTTGTTTTGTAAAACTAGTCGTTCTGTTCTCCTGCACTCCCAGTGGTCAGATGAGCAATGTAAAAGCTCTTTTGTTCTCAGATAGATGCATTCTGATGTAGGACATGGCTCTCGTGTTACTGTAAGGTTGATTTAATATTCGAAAAGCAGGATTTAACATATCTCTGATTTTCATTCCCTTTGTAGGAATGTAAGAAAAGATGGCCAGAGGGAATTACCGAAATTTACTTTCCATTTTTATTCAGTCATATTACTGGAAGTGTTGTTCTTGGCATTTCCATTGGAGTTGAAATATTATTAATACATTTTATATATTAATATATTAGGTACATATTTTCTGGCATGGGTACGCAGTGGCAAGGCATGGGTAAAGACTTGATGAAACTAAACACTTTTAAGAAATCCATCTTGAAATGTACAGAGGCATTAAAAGACACAGACATCAATGTGTACGACACGATAATGGACAGTGATGAAAATACCTATGAAAACGTGATCAAGTCATTTGTAGGACTTGTATCGATTCAGGTAAGAAATTTTTATTATACATAATACAAATAGTAATTGATCTATTTACTTGTACCTGAAAAATGTGCCTTGTACAGTAAACTATACTGCATGCCCTACAATTTGTATTATTCCATTTAGTTAAAATAATTAGAAATAGAAATATTTTACTTTTGTAAGAGTGCTATTCCATTTTAAGTACTCTGTCGAACAAATGAAATGTACCATTTATATCTTGTTTGGTGATGTGACTAAATTGTATGTGCTGTTTGGTACACTTTTAAACCCCTAGTTATAAAGCTTAAATTACATCCATTATAAATGATTTGTTTGCAGTTTTCATAGTTGAAACTCACAGCCATAATTCGTGCTTATACTCCATTGAAGTGTTTTTTTCAATCAAAGTGACATGAGCATTTGTTACTTTGTTCAGATTGGTTTGGTAGACCTCTTAAAGTCCATGGGTGTGGAACCTGATGGTATTATTGGACATTCAGTTGGTGAGTTAGGTTGTGGTTATGCTGATGGCTGCCTTACAGCTGAAGAGACTGTTCTTGCTGCTTACTGGAGAGGCAAGTGTGTGATTGATGCTGAACTACCTGCTGGTGGCATGGCTGCTGTTGGTAAGTTATCTGTGTGGGCCTTTTGTTTCAGAGTGGGACAAAATACCCATGTGTGTTTTTTTGTCTTTGTCGTTGGAATAATTGTTAAGGTAAGGTTCAGGGTGGATAGCAAGAGCCGAACTGGTGTACTCTATATCAGATGACTTTATCAAAACTCCTCCCGGGGTGTGTCAAAGCACCCACTTATAAACACAAGTTTGACATTCCTTGTAATTTTGGCGGAAAGTGACTTTGGCCTTGTACATGATTGGGTACAAGGGAAACGAGCTGATTGGTAAATAACTATTAATTTGGTTTGGCTAAACGTATTATGATTGGCTAAATTATTTGCAGACAGAATCCTAAATAGACATCAAGCTCGACTAGTCATATTTCCGGTAACCGTTGATAAGCTATACATGTGTTTTTATTATTCTATTTTAGTTGTGACTCTTTTAACTTGTCGTGGAACATATAATGCATGTATTTGTTTTTTAGGTTTGTCATGGGAAGAAGCTAAATTGATGTGTCCCGATGACGTGGTTGCTGCATGTCATAATGCAGAAGACACTATCACAATATCAGGACCAAAAGCTAAAGTTGCTGACTTTGTTAGTGATCTGAAACAGCGAGGCATATTTGCTAAAGAAGTAAACAGTTCCAATGTTGCCTTCCACTCCTACTACATGGCCCAGATTGCACCAAATCTGAAAAATGCTTTAACAAAGGTAATAATAATTCCAGACGTGAATGTGAATCTCAATCAAAGAGCAGTTGTCGTTGCAATCAAGATACAACCCATATCGAACACGGATGTCATGTTATGTCCTAACTATACTATAAGGTCCACAGGTACACGTATTTAATTGGGCCTGGTTTATGACTTTATTAATCATTACCTTGCCTTAAATGCCATGACAGTATGATTGCCACACAGCATTGTTACATTCAGTTCTTCATGTTGTGAATTTGTATATTTTATTGCAGATTATCAAATACCCTCGTCGGAGATCACCACGATGGATCAGTTCCTCCATTTTGCAAGACAACTGGAACACCAAACTAGCCATGTATAGCTCAGCTGACTACCATGTAAATAATCTGGTCAATCCTGTGCTATTTCAAGAAGCCTTGTCTCATGTACCATATAATGCTATCACAATTGAAGTCTCTCCTCATTGCCTGCTGCAAGCCATTCTGAAACGCTCTCTCAGTTCAAACTGTGCCTTTATTGGACTAATGAAACGCAACTGTCCAAACAATCTTGAATTCTTCTTGTCTAACACTGGGAAATGTTACCTCAATGGAATGACATTAAACATCAACAAACTATTCCCAGACGTACAGTATCCAGTAATGAGAAATACGCCATCCATCGCTCCATTGATCCATTGGGATCACACACAGCAATGGTATGTCCCTAAAGCCAAAGATTTCTCCACGGGAAGTGGGCAGAGTAATGCAGTGGTCTCGTATATTATTGGCAAGTATCTATATATATTATTATGAGACAAAGTCATGTAATATATAGTCAATATCTGAAAGCTTAGAAAGTCATGGAACATATTTATGTTTTTACATTGATCTATGCTATAATTATTTCTTATTTTTTCTTGACAGTTTGCTCAGTGTCACGAGATGGAAAAGTCAATTATTATTAATATTACTTTTTCATTGTCAATTTTCATGCACTACTAGACTCTCGGTATTACGTGAACTGTTTGATTTTGAAATCATATTTAAAATCAAATTCGTATTCCCTTTTTATAGCTCAATGTTGAAATACCGATTTGAATAGAAGAATATTGCGTTGATAACCTTAGTTCATGAAAATTGACTGTCATCAAATATTTATAGCACAATACTAAGCGTGGAAATACCCCCACAATACAAAAGCAGCACAGGGCACATCACTCACTAACCCTTAACCACCGATTTCATCTTTCTGAGAGTTGATGCGCATTTGCAATTTTTTTAGAAATATTTCTTTTTTTGCGATATATGCTCAAACTAAACTTTCAGTTATCATGATTATATGATATTGCACCATGCGAGAAACTCGTATCGCAGCTATACAAACAGTACTATTGAACAATTGGTTTTCTCCAAGCATT